TCCATTGTGGTGGTGTATAGTGCCAAAGATGTTAGAATTGTGTCGATGTCCCAATATTTCTGGACCTGACTGTATATTCTCTTCACTCCCAGACTGTGGGTTTTTCAAACTGTCTTTAAATTAAAGTGTTATTATTTTTATTATTTTGAGTACCTTGGCAGCAGTTTTTTTTTTTGTTTTAAAAAAAACTCCTAGATAGATATCTGGGTAAAAACGAACAAAAGCTCCTTCACATTTTAAACCTTAAATTTATTGAGAAGAGGAACAGACACCTTTGCTTATATTATTCTTTAAAACTGTTTTATTACGGTGTACAACAAGGGCGGGAAATTTTTCTGTTGTTATTGTAAACTGCACTTTGTTAGGGTAAATACAGGTTGTTAGTGGGTGGGGCTAGAGGCAAAGGTGGGAGAGGTGCAACTCCCCCCCACCCTTTGTCTTACCAACTCTCATCTGCTGTAGCGGTCGATCGGGTGGTGAACAAGTCATGCTTATGCTAATTCACTGAACTATAAGAAGGAGGAAGTACAGCACAATCAGACTTGCTAGATTTACTTCAGCCTCACTGGGTTGACCAGACCAGGAAATCAACTCCACAGGAAGGCTCACACTACTTTTATTGAGATTGGCTACAGTAACAGAACCTTGCAAGTCTGATGTGGTATACCTTCTCCTCCTTCTTGTACTTCAGTGAAACAGGGAGGTGTCTGCGTGAGCCGCTTCCAAATGTTACCTCATTGCTGTGGACGTAAAAAATGCCCCCAAGTAACGGTTCCTGCGTATTTCTGTCAAGCTCATCTTCTTTCTGCGTGGGGTCCTTCAGCAGTCCTTCCCTCAAAGATTGCACAGGAAGGGCCAGATCTGAGTAGGAAAGATGGACCTGCAGGCACCCGAGTGCCAAGCCATGTAGGGGTTTCAAGATGATAACCAGCAGTCTGAACTGGACTTTGAAGCAGACTGGTAACCCAATGCCCAGAACGCACCTTTGTCACTGCTAAATCTGCTACCTCCAGTTAGCTGAAGTCAGCCCCACAATGCAGACCAATCCAAGAAATTAACTCCACAAGAAGGCTAAAACTACTTCTATTGTACTTTACTGGCTACGGTAACAGAAACTTGTAAGTATAAATATGCTTTACCCCCACCCCCTTTATGCTCATGTGATTTAGGAAGGTGTCTGCCTCAGTTGCTAGTGCATAACTATTAATTGTTTGGGATTTATTCCATGCTTTTCCCTTGTCACTTTGGTAACAGATCTGGCCGATCTATGTCAAAATCATCTTCCTTACTCTTTACAGCAGATGGACAGTCACATTTTAGTCCAGTTAAAAATTCCAAGTTATTTTCAAAGGCAGGTTTATGTAGAGCATATTACAGTAGTCTATACACAAGAAGATTACAGGTAGTCCTCACTTAACAACCATTTAATGATGGCTTGAAGTTATGACAGCCTCGGAAAAAGTGCTTTACGACCTGTACTCTCACTTAGGACCATCTCAAACCATCGCAACCCCCACGGTC